TATGATGTTTAAATTTGGAAGCTGATTACTAGGTAGCTAAATATGGTTCACTCATGCTGGATAGGTTTAGCAATTTTCCAATATGCATTAGGAAGGGCATCCATATTGATTAGCCCAATCGTGCACACCTGAACTCATAACATTTTAATAGATAGATACACCACTAAACCATGATTGGCTTGAAATGGAGTTGGAACTGGACTGCTTAGTCCAATGACCAAATCACTCTAAGTCCATGCTGCAACCTGAACTAATTGTCTTGGCTGCATCCATTGTTTTCTATAATGTGACGTGTTTTGATCTTTTCCTATTTTTATTCTTAATGTGTATTTATTCAGTTATTGACATTTTAATCGGGATTGGGAATATGGTCAGTGTGCTAATTGGAAAGACTGCTGAAATTTGAGTTGTGACATTTTATTTTCATCTTGCTAACGTACTGTTGCTGTTTGCAGTGCGAACTGCTTTAGTTGCACTTATTGCATTTATGCCTACCAACCCAAATGGTGCATTGGGTTCAGTAGAATACAAGAAGGAAGAAAGGCGTTCCCTGGCCATCAAATCTCGTGCAGCAGCCCCAAGATATGGCACTGCTGAACGTCAGAAGCTAATTGATGAGGTACCTTACCTACTAAAAGTTTCATTGCAATCAACACAGACTAGCATTTCATGACAAAAACTTGCTAACGGATATGTTAATTTCACAGATTCATGAATGTATGCTAAGCAAGGTACCACCTGTTCCTCAACTGAGCCCCTCACAGGATTCCAAAGAGCATCCTTCAAACAGGGAAGGCGATGTTCAGGTGAGTTCCCAAAATGATGGAGCCACACCTGCTGGGGAAGCTGCTGCAGAAGGGTCTCCAAACCCAGCGGTAGGAGACAGGATTGTTGAAGAAGTACAGGAAGCCCCTTTGAATGGTAACCCGGGCCCTGAAGTAGCGAGGACATTGAATGCAGCTCCTTCCGGTGGATCAAGTCAACTGCTACAAAGGCCAGAAATGAAAGTACAAAAACCGGCCGATGATCGCTTGTTCACATGGGCTGCTGTTGGACTTACCATTGCAATTATGGTTCTTCTATTTAAGAAGTTTATGAAATCTAGCGGACATGGTGCTGTTTTCATGGATGGATCTTAGATTTAGAGATGATTGGTACTGCCTTGGTTACAGAAGATGCCTTTGCCTTATAGTAGCTAAAAGACATCTGTTTAAAGTTTTACATCTATTTGGAGAATTTGTGATCTATTATGATCGTCTTATTGTATACAATTGTAAGTATACTTAACCTGTTTTGCATTTGTAAGCTTGGTCATCCCGGAAACATATTCATGTCACAGAAATTGACAAATCTTTGATATATGAAAATTCTGGTGACCAGTGACCACCTTTATGCGTATGATGCATTTATTCATTTTGGCCAGACCTTGTAGTTGAGGTTACTTTTGTTTTCTCAAGTCTCAAATTACTATAATGCGTCCCCGCCTACGGATCAATCCAAATTTTTCATCTTATTTATTTTCAATTAACGTACTCATTTTCTCCAGTAACAAAACAACCATCACAAAAGACTTTGTTATATGGGCATAGGAAGTCAAAACGTGAACACGGTGGCCATGTTTTTGTTTGGCAACAGAGGTCCACGTGGATTTTTAGTGGTGCATATGCAGTCAGAAAATAGTATTATTTGATTCAAACATGTTTCCCTCGCGCCAAAATTAGCACAAGCCACTAATTATAATGCAGCATTGAAACACATCCGTTTTTCATATAACTATTCTAATTAATTGCACTTACAGCATAATTTGCTTATCCTAACAAAACATTAGTGGTTAGTAGACAATTTGAAGGGGATGATCTAGCGCAATTCCAGCATGACTTCAAAATGATGAGTTTCCATTATCCGTCTGCCTACATCAAACATTTCAATTGGTTCAAAATGATGTGCAAGGGGAGATGATATCAGCAAGCAATTAGAGGCTGCATCATTTCTTGTATTGCCCTGTAACAATGAAGACTGCATAGAGGAAGCTTCGACTTGGAATCCCGATACTTGTATGCATTCGTGCAATTTGGACCCGCACATTTTTCACGTGGGGGAGGATAGCTAAATAACACAAATCATCAAATTTACGCGCCAGTTACATGAAGCAAAAGCAACATTTAAAGATTAAAAACAAAAATTGGGAATGGTAAGAAGGAAGCAAATGCCGTACCTGCAGGGCACTGGACTGAATATACCTGGCAGACCAATATCATCAGAAAATGTAACGATCGTTCCGTTAGGACCAATGACCCATCGGACAGTGTTCGGTGCCAGTGTGACAGCACTGCCAGTCCTTCCCTGCATAATATTATAGTCAACACTGCATCATAACAAATTCAAACAGCCATGAGAAAAAGAAGAAAAATATTCTATAATTTCTCAAATACCTGAATCAATTCATCCCTCTGCTGCTTCAGTTTTTCTTCCTTTTTCTTCTTCTTCGAATCTTGACCAAGTATCTTTCTGATTGCCTCAGCCTAAAAATTAGAAGTGAGACTGTTTCTACATTTGTCACCTGAGATAATATTATAAAACCTGATATAAAGGCCAAACCTCAGCTTCCCTAGCTGCCTTCTCTGACTGTACTTTACGTCTCTGTGTAGCCTCAGCTTTCTTTAATTGTCGTTCCACTTCAGAGACTTTTTCCTTTCCTGCGGTCAACCAGCCAACAGAAAAACTGAAAACAAGTTTAGCAAACATATGCATATAAATATAACCATAATTACGCGATAAACAAAGAGAGAAGATGCGCACTTTTAGATGGGGCAGGAAGCAAATCAGTTGCAAGTTCATGAAAACCTGAACCAGAACCAGTTAAAATATCTTTTCCAGACTGGAGGGCACGGTTACGTGTAGTGGGGGGTGATTCTTTCCACCCTTGTAGAGGTAAACAAAGAGATTTCTTTTTCAGCTTCTTCCCATTTGGTTCAGGCTCATCATCAGATGCCAGTTCCTCTTCTTCCAAATAGTCTTTGTCCTTGTACTTTTTCTCTGATCTTGACTTGTTTATTCTATCTTTTCCCAATCTTGATGATTTATATTCTCCATTAGCATCTCCATGAAAGTCATCATTCATTTGAATTCTCTCTGAACGAGCAACGTTAGAAGCACTTAGTCCTCCAAGGAACCGGATTTCCTCATCTTCATCATCATCTTCATTCGCATCTAAGATACATCTCTTAGGAACCCGCTTGCTCTTACGAACTGGTTCATTATCCATTGGAGCACTTTCCCTAAAGATTTTTCCTTTTGAAGAATACTCCTTTCTACAACTAGAATCAACTTTCAAGTGGTCTTTGCGTTTAACTCCAAAGCCATTTCCCCCATCAGAACAGAAGGGACCCCCACCTACATCATCCTGCATCAACAATATTACTAAACAAGCTCTCATCTAGGTGAAAAGTAAAATGACAAGGCATCCATATATTGGAAACATGAAAAACGGAACAAGTCACATACAATTTTTTCTAAAAATGGGATTTCTTTCTCTAAAGTAACTTGTGAAATCAAAATAGCCATCATTGGACTACAAACGTTTTAAAGAGTTCCTTGTCATTACAGTTGTGATTACACAGAAGAAAAATCAAATTCATTGGAAAATCAGACAGGTTGAAAAAATAAATTCCACTTATACAGGTGGTCCAGAATGAGACATATTAACAGTTGCAATAATTACAAGAATCAGAGTGAGGTACCTGAGGAAGGGGCTTCAGTTGGGGTGTGAAGGCATCGATCGAGCTTGAAGATTTAGTGACGGAAGAGCCGCCACCACAGCCAAAATCTGCTGTATACTTGGTGTGGATTGTATGAGTTACACCTCCAAGCTTAAGCTTTAACTTCTTCAGCTTGTTCCCCCTTCCCAATCCATCAAAAATAACTACTTTCTCCTTATTATTCTGATCCTTATCAATATTTCCAAAGGGTGGAAAAATATTAGAGCTCTGTGAAAATATGGGGGGATCTAAGCGAGGTTTTTGTGCTACAACACTCCTCTTCTTCCTCACAATGCAACCTCCAGGTGAAAGCCCAGCTCCAACGAAACTTTCCATTTACGCGAAAATAGCTGCAGTGCTCTTATGCTTCTACCTCAAATATAAAAATAAATAAATAAAACAAATCCCTGGGTAAGAAATAAATAAATATGACAGCACAAATCTAATGGCACCAACAAGTGGTTTATGACAGAAAACGAAAAGCAGCAACATACTGAAGCTTAAATATTTTCATTGCCGTGGTTTCGCCATGGATTTTTAAGTTCTTTGAGACAACATTTTCGTTTCTAAGCAACCAAACGGAAAATTAAGGCCGCACCAACGTCCACTCTTACTCTACTTTCAAGCTAAGAAGAACAAAAAAAAAAAAGTACCTCCTTACAATTTAGCTTCTTTTCTTGAGTTGGTGCTTCAGATTTTCTGTCAAACCATTCTCCGTGGAAACGAACAGAGAATTGAAAAAGAAATGTGGAAACTGGAAACGAAGACGACATGAAAAGCACTTACTTACATTGAAGAAGGCAGGGAGTAGCACGAAGCATGAGCGATGAAGCGAATAGAAACCCTAGGTTGCTGCAAAGGAAGACTCCAGGAGTTAATGCTCAGAGTGTGAGAGAGTGGAGTTCGCCATTTTGGGACTAGTTTTGGTAAAGCATGAAAATGGAACTCCATTATCTGCTTCATTTTCCTCCATTTTTGTTTTTCCTTCATTTAGTTAGCACAGTTTTTTAAGCAGGTCATATGTGCATGAACCAGTCATGGGCTTGTGGACAGGCCTCAAGCCCAAACAGAAAAGGTTGTTGAAGATAAAAACCACCAAAGGTTTGAGACACCATTTCTTCTTGATTATTTGAAGTCCATATTATCTTAAATTTATTAAGTGGTGAGATATATGTGGATTTGATTAAGCGATTAGTATTTCAAAAATCTCATAACACAATCTTATAATAAGGGAAACCGTTATTCGCCACTCCAGAAAATTCATCATGCATTCCTTCAAATGTAATTTCTTCCTTATATTTTTACAAGAGATTTTTTTAGAGTGCCGATAAAAACTCTCTAATGCAAATTCAAATATTCAAAATCCTTAGTTTGAATGCAAAGATGCAAATTTATGTGTATATTTTGCATAACATTCTTTCATAACCAAGTATATATATGTCTATACAAGTAATTCAAAATGATACATGCTGGTACTTGTTTAACATATTCCTACATCTACTCTTCCCAATTTGCTAGCTATATATATTTGATGTTTCTCTTTTACAAATTAAAAGAGACAGCACAAAAGCAAAATGGAAGCAATTGAAGATTTATATATCATGATCACTTGATCAAGGAAGCAATGGCAAGGCAATTGCTGGCCATCTTGTGAAGCTTGTCATCATAATCCCCTAATGGAGAATTCTCTCCTTCAAACCCATCCCCGCATGTCACAGCATCTGTTACCACCCCGCTGAGCATGCTATTGATCGTGCCAATGTCACGGCTCTGGATTGCATCCATTGCACTCTGAAGGCCATCCAAGGCATCACCGTACATGTCCTTGCAATCGCTTAGCGCAGCGGCTGTGCCACGGGCAATGTTATTCATCAGCACAAGTTTTGAGGCCGCGGCTAGCGACAACTTGGCATGCGTCGTGGCTGCCTTGATTGTCATCTCAAGCACAGCTACAGGGTCCAGCTTGGGTACTAATGGTAGGAAAGGGGCCACAGATGAGACGCAAATATCAGGGTAGTCAGTGTTTTTGCATATTTGTTGGATTGCTGGGTTAGGTGGGACAAAAGATGAAGCTGATTTGGGATATGTAGACTGTGTAAAGAGGTTGCTGCGCGGGCTGTCTTTGGGATTATCAGAAGGGTGGCGAAGAAAGGATGTGGAGGAAGATGAAGGAGAAATAGAATTGCCAGCAGGAGGTGGTTTTTCTGGAGGCTGTGAAGAAGGGTATGGGGCTGATGCAGTACGGCTTGGTGGAGGACCTGTTGGGCGCCATGAAGGGAAGAATTGACCCGGCTGTGGCTTAGTAGGGGACATAGCCGGCTGCGAGTTTGAAGGAGAATTTGGTGATGTCGAGGGAATAGTTAGGTACCTCAAGTTTAAATTCCGAGGCTTGCAAACGGCTTGTGCAAAGTTGAAGCAAAAGAGGAAGAAAAATAAGATGATGAGAGGTGATTGAGTATGGTACTTTGGCTCCATTGTTGTTTCTGAATTGTTTGCAGGGTGGGAGAAACTAAAAGAGAAGAACATGAAGGAATGAGAGCTTTTGAAAGAAGATTTATGTTGGGAGTTGGTTTGGTTGGTCATTCATGCAGAGGACTACCATTAGCTTGGTTTGCGGATTTTTTGGCTATGAATGGGATTCACTTCTTTTAGCTCATTCCTTTTTTCTTTTTCCTTTTTTCACCATTAGCTTTAGAATGAGAGGACTGCAATTCAATCTCCTATAATAGGTGGATGGTCTCTACTCTCTCTCTCTCTCTCTCTCTCTCTGCATACTGCAAAACCTGTTAAAGGCTAATCTTCTAAATGATCTACAGTTTAAGCTCTTCAAATAAAAATAGAAAGTGGACATTCTAAAATAAAGGGAGAAATTAATGTTCACGGTTAAGCAAACATGGATTGGTCATCTTTGGCCTTTCTTGGTATTGCTTAGTATTAATCAGAGCATGGAATGGATTGTCAATCCAAAAGCTTTAGTTTTTTTTTTAATGTTTTTTTTTATACAAGGGATATCGGGGTAGGGGAGAATCAAACCTAGGACCTATAATTCAGAGTAAATGCTCTTGGCCACTTGAGCTACAAGCCCATAGGTAAATACCCTCTCTTCCAAAAGCAAAAGACTCTTAGCCTGAAGTTCCAACCCAGGTGCATGGCAATGGAGAAACCTTGTATACAAGTTAATTAGCCCTTGAATTCTAAGAACAAAATCACCATCATCGGCCACAAGCTGAACTCACATATATACGTTATACGCATACACAAACTCCAGCACATACGTACATGAAATCTGTCCAACTTCAAGATACAGTAACAAAACAGTTGAAAACATAATTTTAACTAAATCTTATGCAAACTAAAAACGGCTTGCAGTTGCAGGAAAGGAAGCAATTGAACCAGAGGCAGCATTGCACTTATTTGCCAAGCAAGGCATTGGGGGACAAAGGATTTAGCTTTCCTGGTCCGCATTGTTCTTCACTACAGTAACTGGACAGGAAGCATTATTTACCACAAAGTTGCTGACACTGCCCATGATGACTCTGCAAAACAACAAACACATCCAGATCCAATCAAAACACAAAAGAAATTAGATGAGGATTTTTTAATTTTAATTATTCAAAGTGGTTTGATTCACAAACCCGCGTTTCATAACAGTACAAACAGTATAACAGTGAAGAAAAGTCTATGGTAGCCATTAGATTATTATTGCCGTCATTGGCCCCAAGAAGTCAATAGGAACTTGGTGATAACCAAAGAAAGCAGCCAACCACGAACTGGAAAACAATGGCAGCCTCCCTCAACCAAACTCAAAAATTCCAAAACAACAAACATGTTGTTGTAACACAAACTCAAATTCATGCATCAAAAAATAATTGATTTGAGTTTGTGATTGGTACCTCTTGAGCTTGCCAAGGCCTCTGTTTCCAATAACAAGGAGGCTCAAGGGAACCTTGTCAATAGCCTCAATGATCTTCTCACGGGCATCGCCCCAGTAGATCTTCATCACCACCGTAATCTGCTCCAAATCACAAGGTCACAAAACACCACTTCATTATTCAATTGTGCAAGAACATCATTGAAACAGAGCTCAAGTAGTATGATGAGCTGAATAATTAATAAAACCAAGTTGCAGCCAACCTCTTTCTGCTTAGCCGCAGTGTTGGCGATGTCCAAGGTTTCAGGGTCAGGATTCACTTTATACTTCTTCATAACGTTGGCATCAGAGAACTCAACCACAGGGATCAAAGCTGCAAAGTGAGTCAATTTATCACGTATCCACTCATAACAAACAAAATCCAGAAAAAAAAAAACTAAAACTTTAAACCAAATAAGCAAAAAAAAAAAAACATAAAAGTTTCGAACTTTAACCAGAAAATCTTGATCGGAGCTGACAATTAACAGAGGAGAGAGAGTTAATTATAAAAGATCTATAAATTTATATCACACGGAGAGAGAGAGAGAGAGAGAGAGAGAGAGAGCATACGGGAACCGGTGACTCCCCAGAGCTGCATCTCGCCTTGCTCATAGTTCTCTTCAGGACGAACGACGACCAGGATGAGGAAATCGCCCTGCCGGGCAACGTTGTCCACTGCCCATTTCAGGGCTGCTCGGCTGCCCGCCGAGAAATCCACCGCCACTCCAATTCTCCTTTCTCCCATCTCTCTCCGTGTTTTTGGGATTTTTTTGATCAGAAAACTTGGTCAGAAGAAAGAACACCGAAAGTTCAAAGGGTGAGAAAGAAGAGCGCTTTATGCAATTGGCTATGGCCACCAACATAATAGAAAGTTCAAAGGGTGTGTAGTTGATGTGATGTGCCACTTGTTGTGATATTTTGTTAGTTATGTGAACCGTTGGATGGTTCTCTGGGTGGGGTCCTGAGGCTTGTGATGACCATCCGACGGTGGATGTTTAGGAGATGCGGTGCTCATGTGATGGATAGGAGGTTTAAGTCTTCGCTTTGAATAATGAGCATAAGACACGACAGAGTAATGCCCGAGTCAAATATGCAAAGGGTACGTGTAATTCTCTGCGTGTCACTCTGTCTGTCGGGTCTGTTGGCCCCAAAATGCGAGCAAAAAAATAAATGAAAATCCCGACAGTTGAAAAGTAAAACGCTTCATTAGATGGGATGGCTTGATTGCTTTCATAAGATTGAGCTTGAAGACAAGATACAACTTGATCTAAAGGCTTTACAGACGGCTTTTTTTTTTTTTTTTTTTTTTGGTTGCCAAATTTGATGTTTGATTATAATGTGTATAGCGAATTTATTTTGGAAACCACTTGCATCATCGCGTTTATTTATTTTATTTGTGAGAGGCGTTATCAATAATGTGATTAGTAAATACGATACATTTACATTGTATTTTTTGTAAATGCTATGTTGTTTAAAGTTATAATGCATTATTTATTGTTCAAGCTATATTAAAGAAATATTGAACCCAAAATCAATCATTGTGAAATCATATTATTAATTAATTATTGAACAATCGTATAATATATAAATGAGGTTTCGTCAAGTGTGTATAGATAGGGGTTGTTTGTTCTAAACATGGTGGAGAGCAAAGGAGAGTATGGAAAAGCAAGCTCCAACAAAGGTGAGAAGAAGAAGCAAAATTGCAACAACGAACACCATAACTGAAGTTGGAGTTTTGAGATGTGTGTCCAAATTCTGCCGCTTTTCATGCCAACTTTTGCTTTTGTATTCAGCCACTTCTTGAAAAAGCCTCTCATAGTAGAAATCAGTCGGCTTGATCTCCTTGCAAAGCTTCTCGAACATTTGAAAAACCTCTTTATCCTTCTTCTCATCGTGGATGAGAATCTGTCTCCGCCGAAGTAATTTCACATCCTTCTCGGAGGTGATGAGGCACCCCATGAGGAAGGCATAAGATGTGACATGCTGTATGGTATCATCAAGCTGACGCTGCTCAAGTGCAATGAGGTTCCTAAGAAGTGTTTCTGTGCAATGATGGACTTCAAGAGGTGGGATTTTGAAAACACCATGAGCGAACTTGATGTCCAAGAAACTATGGCTTGTAGCCGTCTTGAATTTAATGCCTGCACTTTTAAGCTTTTTGGCACAATCCAAATTTTTAGGAGGCACATCTTCTTTTCGATGCAATCTCGGATATGTTGGGAGGATACAATGCCGAATTAGATCAAGTAAATGATACCCTTCTTGATTGAATTTGTCTTTGATAACATGCTCATCATCTCCTGGTATTATTCTTCTGTAGAACCGGGACGCGAGCTCATTGAGTGGCTCGTTGCATTTTGGAGGAAGTGGTACTAATTGAAATAGCCTTTGAACAACAAAGAAAGGAATTTGGTTTTCTAGTAATGCCATGTCACATCTCAGTTCGAAAAGCATCCCAGGCTTGGTGAATATAGGGTCTCTCCGGGACCTAAGGCTCTTGTAGGCAAACTTCAGAAATAGCTCAATGATGAAGCAGCCATCAATTAGCAACACTTGAACAAAGTCATCACTGCTGCTGATATCAATCTCTCCCTCATAGCATCTTCTTGCTTTGTGCTCCAACTCTCGAAGAGCTTTCACGCAGATGCTCAAGGTTGCTTCTAAATTCGGTTTTCGATTGAGGAGTGCGTAACAATAGCGCCACTTATCATCTTGCGGCACTCTAGTCTGTTTTGCACGATGCAAAGGACCAATGGAAACATGATCAGGAGTATATTTCTTTTCGTTATGCTCGCGAAGTTCCTTGGGGACTCTGAAGATACAGACTGATACAGCAATGTTTTCCATCTTTTCCTTGATAGAAGATACAAGTTCATCATGCTCAGGAGTGATTTCAATCGAGACATGGTCTCCTAATTGTGGCTGTCTCCCTGATATCTTGTTGTTTTCCATCTTTCAAAGAGAAGTTGTGGTTTGCTCTATGCAAAAAAGAAAAGCCCTCAATTTGAGTATTGGGAATTCTCAACAGAAAATGCAATGCCATTCTTCTCTAGATGAATACAAGCATGATACAGAACTAGAGTCTCATATGTGCACTATTCATATTAACTTTTCTCTTTCTCCGGGGAGAAAAAGGTTTTTAACAAATTCCTTTACTTTGGTTTCACGATGTTGGTATAAAACCTTGAAATAGCACAACAATTAGGCAACAATGGGTAAGGAGGGTCTGGTATTGTTTATCAGATAAGCAGCAAACATAAGATATCTTAATTTAAATGTAACAGACGTAGTGATAAGTGATTTTTTAAAAAATTTGGGAAGCTCAACTCGTTTGGTAAACTATAAAAAAAACTTATTGTTAAAAATTGTTGTGAGAGAAAGCTATAATGGAAAGCAGCTAATGAGGTGCTTTCATTTTCTGATTATGCAGGAATCAGTTTTGAAGAGGCAATGAGTTTAATAATTATGCAACAATCATTTTCTGATTATGCGGAAATCAGTACCAATAACATTTTTAACAAAAAGTTTACCAAACATCAAACTGGTTTCTCTCACAGCAAATTTGACAGCGATTATTTTCAAAGCACAGCAATGCCAAACTGGCCTGTAGTAAATGTGGTAAAGTCTTGGATTTGTTCTTCGAAATATTTCGTTATATACTCATTCTTAGCGCTAGTGATATAGATAAACATTACACCATTTAATTTCTATAAATAAACCCGAAAAATTACATCTAACCCTATTGAATTTAATTTTGGTTATTAAATTACTTTGATGTCTTATTGAGTATTTTGGGTTTATGATGTTTTTGGTTTGGGGTTGTTTTAAGAAATTGATGGCAGTTTTGTAATTTTTAGGAAGTTCGAAGCCTCTTTGTTATGTTGTAAATGACCTTTTGGTGTGTTTCTAAAACCCATTTTATGTAGTTTTTATCAAAAAAAATTTAGACGCTATATTAGATATAATATTTAATGTGAGCTGATTTTCTCACTTCTTTTTTCTCCACTTACACTCCTTTTTGCTTTTTAATACTTTTTAAATCAATTTTATTCTTTTTTGTTTTTTCTCTTTCCTATTCTACCCTTACCCTACATTTTCTTCTGCTCCCATATCCCAATATGCCTAAATTAGCCATGGAAACCACACCTTAAACAACTCCTAATTTTCACTCACTCTGACCCAATTGCAAAAAAAAATTCCCTTTGTTTCTTTGTTCATTTCAATAGCAGCTTGCCACATTTTTTCCATGGCCACCTATGCTTCCAACATGATTTGCTATCCACACCCATAAAACCCAGTAATCAATGGATTGAGAAAAATCCATCACCTCAATTTCTTTTACTTCACTCTTATATTATTTCTTTTTACTGAACATTATCTTTAATACGGATGAGATTGCTGAAAAATCAAAACTTTTAATGTCAAGGTAATGGTATTGATATTAACCAAAAATTGATATTTGTTCTATTATAAGTGAAGAAGATATGATGACTGGTTATTTTGGGGGAAAAAAATTGGTGTAAAAAATCAAGCAATTAAGCATAAAGTACTCATGCCATATCCAATATTACATTTTTTTTAAAAGAAAAAAAAACACATTCGAAATTACCCTTCTGAGATGCTTTTGATGATAATAAATCAACATCTCAACATAATGTACCTGTTCATATAGATTTACAACCTAAGCATGGAAAATCACAACATTTTTTTATACAGTAAATTGAGTGAGACCAACTTGAAAAGCTAAAGTCAGGAAAACCCATTTTCTTGATATACAAAATGAGTGTTTCTCTGACCTGCAGGCAGAACAAACAGATGCCACAGCAGAAACTATTATATTTGGCTCTTACCACTTGGATGGAATAATTCCAATATAATGTACCTTGTTCATATAGATATACATTCATGGCAAACATTTCTAAGACAGAATATACAGAGAAAATAATAGCAGAATGGTTCAGGAATCAGTGTACCTTGCTGTAATCAACAGGAAAATGTAGCTGAGCTGCTTAGATGGGGCTATTTTGCCCAGTCATTAGCATTTCCATTGTTTTCACAACAAAACTTGATGAGCATTTCATGGTTGCAGGAAACCAAGGAGCTATTTATATGTAAGCCCAAAACTTTCACCACAATCTGGGTGGAAATTTTTGGTCTGACGGTACAGGAATCAATGTTAACTTGAGCAGTTTGTCATACAGACCCAAAACAGAATGCAATTAATTACAAGGAACTTCAGTCTGCAGAGCAGTATTCCTTTTGAAAAAAGAAATGTGAACACCAAAGCATAGCTTTGTCCAAAGATAAAGCTAAATATAATTGCTTAAGAGTAAATTTAGGTATTAGTTTATAGTAAATTCACTGTGGCTTTAAATATGAACGCATCAACAAGGTCTCTCTCTACTTCGTTAGCTTTTTGTTTTGGCTTAATGTCATGAGCCGATTGAGGAGAAACACCGGTATGAATTGGAGATAACAATGTTTTGCTAGTTCCAACCAATTATGGCATGCTATGTTTTAACATGATAATCTGTAAGAAGATTATTAATTAATAAATAATTCTTGTAATATGATGAATTTCCGTTCACTTTACTTATAAAAATTTTAGTGGTATTTTTATGTGTGAAAGAAGATATCCAAAACTTTAGGAATGAAAATAAATGTAGTATGCATAGAATTCAATTCCCGTATACGTGCCATGCCATGGGATGTCACGTGATTGATCGGATATACACGAGAAGTTGTCTAAAACTAAACTAACCACCCCTCGTTTCTCTCCCTCACTTCAGTTCAGTCTCAGTCTTCACTTGTAAATTTACATCATTATCTGAGGAGATCAAGTCTTCAAGACGCCATCTTGGCCGTCCATATTAAATTTCTCGACGAAGAAAGTGGAATACCCAATAAAAAAGGTAAAGTCCGATCCAAAGCCAAGTCCGAGAATCTGTTTCCATTGCTTTTGTTTTTGTTCTGTTTTCATTTTTGTTTTCTTTGAAAACAGAAGAAAGAAACAAAAAACGCAACTTTACCCATCTGTCTTCTCTTGAGCGTTGTCTCTAATTCTCATTTGCAAGAACACTATAGGGGTTCAGCCAAAAAAAGGTTTTTGATTTGTGTTCTGCTTCGAAACGATGGCGTTTTGGTGGCCTCTGCTCGTCCTCGGATTCGCTTACGCCATTTGCAAATTCCTCTTTATGCTCATTCCCCCTAATGTGCCTTCCATCGAAGTCGATGCTTCTGATGGTACCTCTCTCTCTCTCTCTCTCTCTCTCTCTCTCTCTCTCTCTCTCCATTTATATGTTTCTTTTGTATTGGTGATTGATTGGCGCGGTTTAATCAATGGCAGTGTTGGATGATGGGAACCAGACGCAGGAGAATGGTTTCATATATGTGAGTTTTTCTCAAAGCTTTTGTCTTTTGACTGTAATTTTTATTGAAATCTGTATCTTTTTGTAAGCATTTCTCTTCAATTCTTGATTGTAGTTAACTTCTTTGCATTTGTCGATGTTACTTACTTTCTTATCAGTTAAACTTAGGTAATTATAGTTGTGGGTGTACTTAAATTGCTTATAATTAGATTCAAATTTGCTTTTCACTTTGTACTGTTTCTTGCTAGTTTATGGGTGCTTAAGGTTATTACATTGTTTGAGTTGTATGAATGTGATCATGTGCAGCATCCAGTTGGCTGCCTCTCATTGGTGTTTAATGTGCAGGTACCTCCGAGGGGAAGGACGCCGCAAGCTGATACAAAGGTTCAGTGCTATGAACCTGCAACCATGAAATACTTGGGATATTTCCCTGCACTGACACCAGATGAGGTTAGTCATGTTATGCATGTTTGGATTTGGGGATTGGTGAATTGAATGTGTAAGAAACTGTTATATTGTACTCCTCTTTGCTGTTTGGCATTAAAGTGATGAACTTGATTTTGTGCCTACATAGCGCCTGGTTTGGCATTTTGGCACAGAGCTTAAATGATATATCACAACTACTGGGAAATTCGCTTTGTAAATGTGTATTCTCAGGTCAAGGAGCGGGTAGCACAAGCAAGGAAGGCACAGAAAATATGGGCAAAGAGTAGCTTCAAGCAAAGACGCCAGTTTCTCCGGATTCTTCTAAAGTATATAATTGAACACCAAGAGCTTATATGTGAGTAAGTACTTTCTCTCTCTCTCTCTCTCTCTCTCTCTCTCTCTCTCTATGCATGAGCCTGTGCATGCTAATTTGAAATCTATTTTTCATCCTTACTGTGACCTGAAGTATTATGTAGGGTTTATCTTTTGTTAAAAAAATTAGTAATCTATTTACATGGATTCCACCTTTATTGTCTTTTTCTATATTATTTTGTGTACTTACATATACCATTTTCGTTAGAATATCTTCACGTGATACGGGGAAGACGATGGTAGATGCCTCTCTAGGGGAAATAATGACAACATGTGAGAAGATCACTTGGCTCCTTTCAGAGGGTGAGCGTTGGCTAAAGCCTGAATACAGGTATTTGCTTGTTCCTTATTGCATTTTCTATATCTTATTTAATCACTATTAATTCAACTGACATAACAAGGTGTTGTGACGTATATCTTGTTGTCTTGATACATCTCAGTGGCAATCTACATTTTAATATTTGCATTGCTTGAGCTCTTTTACTGTACTCTTTTCTGGATATGCACCATCATTAAATAAGTTTTACCGTTTCCTATCCAATTTTTGGTTTTCTTTCCCGATAAAGAGTGTTTACCTTTCCTTACTTTTCTCAATACTGTATTGTGATTATTTTGTTCATGAACAAAATTTCAGATGTTCTGGAAGGTCAATGCTTCACAAGAAATCCAAAGTGGAATTCCACCCTCTTGGCGTCATTGGTGCCATTGTGTCATGGAATTATCCTTTTCATAATATCTTTAATCCAATGCTGGCAGCAGTTTTTTCTGGAAATAGTATTGTGATTAAGGTAGTTATTGTTGGAATGTCACTGTTGTTTACTTTAATCACTATCTGTACTTTGTGTCTTTCGTCAGAATTAGTCACCATTGCACCTGTTTTATATCCGTTGTAACTCATTCCTTTCAGTTTTGGTAGCTGTTGTTGGTTGTGTGGTTTGAGGCTATGTATCATTAAAAAACTGGCTTCTAAGGATTTGTTGTAAAGCTTGTTTTGTTAATTTGTCAGAAAACCGTAAACTTCTAATTGTAGGTTTCAGAACATGCAAGTTGGTCTGGTTGTTTCTACTTCCGAATAATCCAATCAGCCCTTGCTGCTGTAGGAGCACCTGAAAATCTAGTTGACGTCATAACTGGGTATTTTATTTTTTATTTTTTATTCTTTTTTGGGTGGGATTTCTCTCTAGTCTTGTTTATTTTTCTCCCTATAATCAAACCTTTTTCCTCACTAGGTTCGCTGAAACTGGAGAAGCGCTGGTGTCTTCTGTTGACAAGATAATATTTGTCGGATCACCTGGTGTGGGTAAGATGGTATGGTCTTCTTTTGGCTGATTGGTTAGATTTCTTGTTTTTGTTTAATTCCTGAAACATGCTTCTTACTTCCAAACTTCTAATCCTTCTTTCACTCTAATAGCTCTCAAATTATTAGTTAATTTGTTTCCTTTGCTCCAAATATTCTGAAAGTTAAACCGTAAACTTAAGCCCTAAAACCCGACTGTGCAGCCCTAGATTAATAGCCCCGGGCTAATAGGGAAAAAAAACTTAAGAAAACAAAAAAATATATAGGCCATTTGATCTAAGCTCTCACTTTCCTCGTAAAATTTTGATAAGTTTAAATCATACATTAGAAATGATTTCTAACTGAATTTTTCTGTTTTTCATCTATTACACAAGTTTTATTTCAGTAGTAAATTCGGATACATCATGTCATTTTTGAAATTATTATGTCTGCAGATAATGAGAAATGCTGCTGAGATGCTTATACCAGTTACACTAGAACTTGGTGGAAAAGATGCATTTATTGTTTGTGAAGATGCAGATGTGGAACATGTATGAATTTTTCCCACCTTTACTAGTGTTTTATGATGTCTACCATGCTTGGACATTCAATTGGAGAATGACATTTTGAATTAGATTTTTTTTTGTATTCTTTAACACTATGTGACCTAATAGGAGACTAAACTACTCAATTTAGGTTGCCCAAATTGCTGTGAGAGCTGTTCTTCAGTCAAGTGGACAGAACTGTGCTGGGGCTGAGAGATTTTATGTTCATGAGGACATTTATTCTTCATTTGTCAGCCAAGTTTCCAAGATTGTAAAATCTGTTACTGCTGTAAGTATGCCCCTTCATCATGTTTTTTTATTATAAGGAAGATGAATCTAACTACTTAATATTTAAAATTAATGATTCTTTCATTTATCTTATTTTCTAGGGTCCACCACTTGCTGGAAAGTATGATATGGGAGCTATATGTTTGCAAGAGCACTCTGAAAGGCTTCAAAACCTTGTAAATGATGCCTTAGACAAAGGAGCAAAATTTGTTGTTCGGGGAAGTGTTGGCCATATAGGTGAAGGTGCAGTTGATCAGTTTTTCCCACCTACTGTAATAGAAAATGTAAATCACACGATGAAGTTGATGCAAGAGGAGGTAGCGAAAGTTGTATAGTTTGTTCAACATAGCATTTTCACATGTACCTTTAATCTTCAATTAGTTACATGGAGAAATTCTTTCTACATTTTTGCAGGCATTTGGACCAATCATGCCAATAATGAAATTTAGCACTGATGAAGAGGCTGTCAAGCTTGCTAATGACTCAAAATATGGACTTGGCTGTGCTGTTTTTTCTGGCAGCCAGCGTCGTGCAAAAGAGATAGCTTCCCAGATACATTGTGGAGTTGCTGCAATCAATGATTTCGCATCAACATACATGTGTCAGGTAATAATTTTTTCAAGTGGTCGGCAGCTGATAATGTGTCTTGTTTCTCCTCTCTTTTTTTTCCCTCTTTCTCTGGGTCCTTTTAAAGTCTTATTGGGCCTGTGGGGTATAGAACTGGAGGTAACCCTCCCCGATCTCATAAAACCCCTCGAACATTGGGGAAGGTGGGAGTCTATCTCAGGGCTCATGCAAGAGACTTTACTGATATTTTTTGGATAGACAAGAGACTTTACTGACTTAACTAGATGATACATTGTTTCTTCTTTTAATAATGAACTATAATTTCCTGCTTTAGAGATAGCAGAAAGACTGGATGTGAACTTAAAATAAAAAATTAATGTGATCATTGATTTGTTTTTCTTTTTATGAAGAGAAAGAAAATGCTTTCATTGATTAGATTAGACAGTTTTTCTTTTCTGAGGTCTGAGTTAGACAATTCAGCGACACAATATGAAGCTGATATCATATATCTCAAAGAAATGCTTTCCATTCATGAATATTCTTCAGAACACAAAAGAATTTTACTGCCATATTAATCAGAGATCGCTTTAGTTCAAGCGTATCCTCGTTGAAACATCACTCATTATTATTTCTTTTAATGAAAGATTTTATATCATGGTGACATTGTTAATCCAATGAACTAAAGATGTCTCATGAATTTCCAGTCCCTGCCATTTGGCGGTGTAAAAGACAGTGGATTTGGAAGATTTGCTGGTGTAGAAGGATTGCGAGCTTGTTGTCTTGTAAAGTCAGTTGTTGAGGATAGATGGTGGCCGTACATTAAAACCAAGATACCAAAGCCTATTCAGGTCAGATTTCAAAACTAAACTGTAATGTCATCTCATCTCTCTCTGTGTCTCTGAAATTCTACAAATCTGGCTGATTTTCTTGCTTGACCAACTGTAGTATCCTATTGGGGAGAATGGTTTTGAGTTCCAGGAGTCACTTGTTGAAGCACTCTATGGCATGAACATTTGGGACCGTTTGCGAGCATTGGTTAATGTTCTAAAGATTCTTACAGAGCAAAACTCTCCTGCTAACAGTAAGAGAAGAGATGACTGAGTGGGGCACATGAGGATTGGAACATTTCATCAGTTAACCGAGTTCTAATATATTGTGGATTTTGAGTTCCCATAGATCTCAGAATCATGGCTATTGTTGAGCATCAACCTAATGGCGTCTGTTTTTCCTTCTGGTTATTTTTTAGTTACAGAATGCTTCTGCGTCGAATGTCTTGTCAAATCCTTTCAAGGAAATTCTGATTTTGAATATAGAACAGAGTTTTGTTTGAAGCAACGATCGCGGCTGGTATTTTGGGTCTCTCTAAGACTTGTAGAAATACTGATTTTGTAGATTATTTTGAACAACTATCGGGTCTCCGGGTTCCCCGGTTGGTATTTTGCTGTTTGGGATTAGACGTTTTAGTTTGGGGTTTGGGTCTTGTGGAGAGTTTTGTGTTGGCCAAAACCCGAACCTCAAACTGGTAAACCTCGAAGTCAAGCTGTGAAACTCGAAAACGCAAAACCCCAAATGTCAAATCCCAAAACCTCTAATGCTTAACTCGAAACTCCAAATTCCAAACCCAAAATCTAGAGATGTTTGCTCTCTTGAATAATTAACAACATTCCAAGCAACCAAAATAAGAATATACGAGTACAATGATAATAGCATTGATATGTTGATTAGCCAGGGCTGTTTTTGGAACATTGGCCTAGTAATGAACCCTAGAATTCTCTTGGATCAACAAACACATTACCTAGTTGTCCCTTCAGCAGCAGTTCATCTTTTTCATCAGCGTGGCTAATCAAGCTTTTCACATACCAGACATCATTGATACATGACATATTGGAATCCTTGGGGACATGCTTTATGAGAGGATCACACAACCCCAGCTCAGTTAAAATCAACTTGCTGTCCTTCACATTTTGTCCCAACCGTGATGCGAAGTTCCACACAGATTTCATGAGCTCCCCGAGCTTCTCTCCCTCTCCATGAATCCCGTAGAGAAACAGAAACCCGAAGGAGCTCTGCATGGAGACACGGACAGGCAATTTTAGGCAGGACAATATTTTCTTCCTTGCATGGCTTAGGGAAGCATGAAAAGACCTTAGTGGATGAGACTTTCTTATATGAAGCTTGTAAGCTTCACATGTATTCCATATGCTAAAGATTACCCAAGAGCTTTGAGTTTTACTGGTGATGTCCTTACCATTTTCCTCGGTGTTTAAGTTGATCCAACCCTGTTCTTCGAAATAGCAGACCCAAGTGCCGAGGCTCAGCTTCTCCTTCAAGATCACATCGATGTCTGTCGGATACATGTCTTTGCCTCTTAGCTTATTTTTGTACAAGAAAATTGCCTGGTCTATGTGCAGCTTCTCTATTTTTATCTCTTGGGGAAGCAGATCATCAATAGGGGAACAAATAGGCTGAACAAATATGACTAGTGAGCTGAGGTTCACAAAATTGCATTTGAAAGTGAAGAGATTTGTAGAGGCGATGTTGCTCTTTTCGGTTGCCAGGAATGTGTACTGTGCTCCCTTCCTCAGCAGCCACTCCTCCACCGAGTTCATGAGTTTCAATCCAATTCCCATCCGCCTAAACCAGACACATATAAAAGTTAATCCATCATAAAAAAAATTATGTATATTTATACTTGAGATCTGCTAGAACTTATTAATCTTATGCTTATTTAGATCATTTAGCTTTTCCAATATGCTGCAACTCAGTTCAGAAAGAGTCAGAGCTTTTACACTCAATTTCAGCAGATTGTATTGGCAATTCAGAAATGAAAACTTGTTGCTTAGAGAAGAAGATTTCTTCCAAACTCCATTCTATCTGATAAACAAAGTGGAGAAATACCTGTGTGTAGGAGAGACGCGAAGGCCTAGTACGCAACCTATCTCATAGCTTGCCCCAAAACCAGTGCCTACATGCTTCATGCATCCTCGAACCACTCCAACAAGCTCCCCGTTTTCGAGCAGCTCTGCTACCTGTAGGCCATTTTAATGCAATGATCATTTTACATTAATAAAGTCCAGAGGGGGACAGGGGTTTCCATATAGAAAAGCAGTACAAAATAATATAGAAATCATGCAAATGTTATTGCTTATTGGAGGAGACATAAAAATGATTATGAGATATGAAAAAGTGACCCTAACCCACCAACATAACATGAAGGGGATAGAACCTAATCCTACAACAAGGGTCACCCATCATGTTAGTGAAAATGGAGACCCCCCTTTTAGACCCTAGGTCACAGTTCCTCTCTAGCTTCCCCACCACTTCACTATCTGTGTCTGCATTGAATTCCCTTATAAGAACCTTGTTCTCTGCACTGTCAACCATGTCTTTTTTTTTCTTTCTTGATAAAAGAAGCAAAGTTATAAGATTTGAAGTGGAGAACAATCTTCAATTTGGTTTGCTGCCACAAGTGCCTCTTATTGCTTTCTTATATGCTAGGCTGGGTTAGCTACCTATGTTATAATTTGTTTTTTCTTTTCTTTTCTTTCTCTTTTTTCTTTTTTTGTGGCTGGTTACTTCTGTCAGCAGTCTCAGTACCATAAATCACATTGGACCAGAACTTGATGCATTCATAATTCACAAATAAAAAAAATACCTGCTATCTACATGAGCTGCACCAGAAAAAATGGAACAATGATATTGCAAAGCGATTCAGGGAATATTTGTAATCATTTCTGTATTCTGTGTTTTTTGCTGTACATTTTGTGTGCTCATTTATTAGTTTCAGATCAGGTGCTAGCTGTTGTTTGAAACTAGTCTTCCCATTCATTATTGTGGGTTCAGTGTCCTTTAACCTTTGCTTCAACAATTACAGCATGCATTATGTATGCATATATATATCTAACATGGGACAGTTCCTGGTAACTGGTGGTTCCAGTTTGAAAGTAAAAGAAGAAATTAACTGTCTGACAGGACCTCTAGGACTAAAAACAGCAAGTGCAAGAATTATTACTTGAGCTTTCAACATGATAATGAGTAGGGGGTCAGGTTTCCTTTAACTGTGCACCACAATCACAAACCAAAGTGTGAATCGGTGCCAGAAGGGTTCCAGAAATATGTGTTTGAAGTTGTGAATGAGCTTGTTTTCAGTACAAGTGTACATGACCAAGCCTCACTTAGTTTCACATGGTCACACTCTTGGTTTTGGTGGCTTCCCATTATTGATTACACCGCAACATTCTCATGTTTTAGTGCAACCCCACCTCTACTTTCACCACCACCTAGCTTACAAGGTTTTTTTTTTTTTTTTTGTTCGAAGGGTTTAGCAACATTTTCGTATTTTTTAGTTTTACACTGTTAAATTGTTAACTCCAACTACATGTCAAATTCATGTAAGATTTGACTACTCAGTTGCAATAATTTTATCTTCAATTCTTGTCATTTCATGTTCACATACTAATTTGACATATTAGTTAAAGATCCTTTAACGCATCTCTAAACTTATGCCAATTTGAAACACCACATAGGATTTGACAACTCAATTTAAATAATTTTATCTTTAATTCTTGTCATTTCATGTTCACATGTCAATTTCACGTATCAATTAAAGATGCTTTAACACATCTCTAATCTTATGCCAATTTGAAACACCATTTTCTATACGTTTGAGAGATTCATGAGCACAAAAGCTTATAAACTTTTTTATTCACATGTTCAAATAATTTGTGATGCATAAACATTAGTAAATGGATTCATGTAAAAATAAATTAAAGTAAAAAAATAAGACATTTACTTAAAGGGTTATTTACTCAAATGGTGCTCACACTTAAACCCAAGTTGCATTTTGGTCCCTCAATGTGTATTCAATGTAGATTTTAAACATCTCTGGGGGGAAACAACGATTTTTCATGGCCTAAAATTATTCTATAATCAAACGAAATCCACTACTTTCTGTATTTCCTTTGAAATTAATGAGTTTTTTTTAATACAACCAAACTTTTATGAAGTCTTTTAAAGTCATGATTGAATACATCCAAATTTGAATGAAGTTTAAAAAATTTCAATTGAATACACCCAGAATTATATAGACTTCTATAAAATCGTGATTGAATACACCTGAACTTTTAAACTTCTTCAAATTATGATAGATTGAGATCTGATTTCACCACTTCTATTACCACCATCTTATTATGGCTATCACCACCGCCGCCACCTCCATAGTCATCTTCATCGCAGCCACCACCCCCAGCACCACCATCGCCACCTCCACTACCACCCACTGCCGCCCTCACTACCACCCCAACCACCACCCCCACCATCACCACCACCACCCTTACCCCCACCTCCACCACTACTACCTCCCCTAGTATCAGCTCCACCACCACCCCACTATCACCACCACCACAGCCACTGACAGCATCATCACCATCACTGCCACTGTCGCCACAGCCACTCCCACCGCCACCACCTCACTCCTACCACTACCACCCCTACCTTCTCCACCACTACCTCCCCCACCATCACCCACAAACCACCATCGCCACTGCCATCGCGATCACGACCTCCTAAACCCTTTAGATTTTTAGTGCTATAAACTCCATTAAAATCAATAATAAAACTATAACTTAAAATCTATACACGAATTCAGTTAAACTCAATTAAATTCAATTAAAATCCATCAACTTTATAACTCTTTAAAATCATTTAAAATCTAAATTGAATACAACTTCCTAAATTATTCATTCAAATAGTCCACCAACTTTTTATTAATCAGCACATTGGTCCTACCATTACACTCAATCAATATTGCCATTAATTTGAGGGTTAAAATCATCAATTTATACTAAAATATTAATTAATTAATTAAAACAGAGATAGAGGGAGGACTTAGAGGTGGTGGGCAGTGGGTGTAGGCTGGGGCTAGTGGTGGGGGTGACTCTACCTTCTTCTATTCTCCCATCAATTTCTTCATTCTCTTAATCAAGAACATATAAAATAACAAGTGATAAGTAAAGCAAGAAATATCCCCTTCATCTCATCCCATATATATCTTACAGAGCAACAAAAGAGAAACTACTTTTTTCTTTTTCCATTTTTGCAACTCCAGCGAGAGGAATCCAATACCATAAATTGATTAAGGCACCCATGTGCCTTCTCCCTCAATCCTCTGCTCCCATTTCTTATGATTTAGTGGTGCAACAAGCTCGCTCCATCATTGTAACCTATCACGGAGCTCAACACGTGCTGCCACTTTGGCTATCGAAGTCGGAGAAGTCATGTCTGAACGACGCCGCCGTTGATGTCATCTCTCTCGCACCGACTGGTTGTCTTCCGGCGCCGCTGTCATTTGGTTGTACATGAAGGGAATAAGAAGAAAAAAAAATGGAAATGATAACTCCACTATGAATAAGTCGCATTTACCCTTCCTATTTTCCTCACATGTAGTTCACATGACTAAAACTCATGGAAAATGTAATGATGGACCAATTCACCGAATAATAAAGAATTGGTGGACCATTTGAACGAATAATTTAGTTGAGGAACCAAAATGCAACTTGAGTATAAGTTTAAGGACTATTGTAGTAAATAACCCTTTACTTAAATGTTTACAGTGGAAATAAGGCTATAAGGGGAAACAAAAAACAAGGCAATGAGCAAGCCTATTCAAGCTAGGCCAGATCATGGGTGGGCCTTGTTAGACAAGAGGTTCAAAACCTAAACCCAATCCTTACCCAACCTTAGAACAACCGGGTCAAACGGGCCTAACTATTAGAGTGGGCCGAACTTTGGCCCATCAAGCCTCGAGCTACCTACTTTGGCCCTCGCGGACAATGGGCCAAATGATGACCCTTAGTCCGAAGGGTACCAAACAAATTTTCAAATATTTTAGCCATTTTTTATTGTTTCATTTTTTTTTTACATCTAAGTAAGCATCATCATATCTTTGGTGCTTACAATTTGTATGATCGTAAAACTCTTTGCATTGCAACATGAATACATGATGATGTGAGTGTGACGGGTAAATGTCATGCCACTACACCTCGGAAGGATGACATGATCAACTCATGACAATAGCCTAAAAAAAGATATGAACTCTTTATATGCTATCCAATTCACATTGATGTATGTACTCAAAATGTTCTAATTTGCTTGTTTGATTTGTGTTGGTTAGCTGATTTGTTTATGGGGCCTTACTGCCCCTTCATGAAAAAGAAAAGAAAAGAATGTTCTGATTTGTATAAAATGGGAAATTTTAGAATATGCATGAGACTACCAAGAGTTGCATGTACTTAAAATGTTCTTATTTGTAAAGTATAAATAGATTTATGTTGCTTCCAAGGGCAAAGAAACTGGTGGGAATGGGAATTTTACTGCAACAAATTTTAGTTCTTACCAATGATCAGGGCTTCTGAGTTGTTGCAGCCTATTCGGTCCACTGAGAGAAGGCTTTGTGAATTTTACTTCCGCTTGTGTGATTTCTTGAAGCCCAATGCATGTACGCAAATTACGATTTTGAACATCACCCTCTTTCTCTTGGGATGTCTAAATTTCTATGATACACACATTCAACCTAAACACTACAAGTTCCTAAGATAAGTCAATGCATACTTAAGTTGAACCTAAACAAATAAGATAAGTCAATGCATACTTAAGTTGAACCTAAACAAAACAACAAACCAACCCACCACAACCATCATCCCAAATGCCAACCCAAGCACTATAATTAGCTCCCAAATTTAGTCTCTTTTTTTCCAACCATCTCAATATCTCTCACCCATTCCCACCATATTCTGGTACTTTTCTCTCTCTCTTTCTTTGTTTTTCGTTGGCAAGGTAGGTGGCCCAAACACAGTAACCAAATGCGGCCAAGTCACGGCCTTTGAGTCGCAAAAATAGCAATTTGCATAGGACTCTCCTGCGATCACATCCTTCCATGATTCCATTTCCTTCTGTATAAATAAATCCCTTTCCAATTCTGTCACGCAATTCCAACCCCGTAAGTTTTTCATTTTCAACAAAAGTCTTCTCTCTTTTTCTTCGCAACCCCCAAAGTCTCTATCTTTCTATATCGCTCGCTCCATCTCTCTCGTGGCAATCCAACCACTCTGGTCTATGGTGGTTGGCTTTCAGATGACGATCCATTGCAAATTAGTGTCTGGGTGGGATTCTGAAACGTCATTCTCACACTGATCTGGGTAAGAGAAAAATAAATCATAAACAGAGAGGGAGGGAGAGAGAGACAGCGAGCGAGTGATTGTGCATTAAAAAGGAAGACAATGGAGGTTGAGAGGATTAGGCAGCTTTTACTTCTTTGGTGTAGAAAATCCTTCGTGGCCCTCGTGGGTGGTAATCACACCGCCGCTAGGTTCTGTGCCCGCTAAATCTCAAAATGTTCTTAGTTGTTTTACCTTCGATTCCTTCTTGAATACATTGCAAAATTTGCAATCTTCGGACTTTTTTCGCATCTGGGTACCCGCCAAATCGGCTCTTCGAGCTTTTCTTCTTGACCTGCAGATCGGATCTCACGTTTTCACAGAGCTTTTATCGGATTTTTTATTATTACGGAAGTGTTGAAAAGGAAACAGATAAATGGAATTGGCTGGTGGATATACAGCCAAGGACCAGAGCAAGGTGAAGCACCTTCATGGTGGAAGGATGGGATTGGATTCCGAGACTCATTTGGTGATCAAGCTTCCTGATTCCAAGGTATTGCGCATTATTTCAAGGTCTGTTTTTCTGGGTTTGGTTATTCTCACACTGCCCTGCATTGGGTCCCTTTTGAGGGGAGTAAGTGTTTCTGAATTAAAATATGATACTCAATCTGAAATTTTCAATTTTGAGCAATTGGGTCAGCTTTTCCATGATTTAGCTGGTGAGGGCCTTCGCAGAAAAAGTGACAAGGCTCTCATTGTGAGCCCTTTCAATGTTGGTATGATTCACAATCTTCATCCTTTTGATTATAATGTATTTGACATTGTTATGGATTCGGATTTGGAGCGAAAAAGCTCATTCTTGGACGAGTCTTTGGATTTTGTCTTCGCATTCAACTTGGTTGATGCTAAATTTGTAGATCGCATTTTGAAGATTGGTGGCATTGTGGCTGTTCCATTAAGCAATGACCCTTCAAATGCTTTTAGACCGAAACCCAATTACAAGATCGTGTATCTTCGTCGATATGCTTCCACGTTTGTGGCAATGAGGAAAACCAGCCCGTCTTATGATTTGGCGGTGAAGTCTAGGCGGCTTTGCCAATTCGAAACTGAGGCCAAGAAGACAGTGTTGAAGGGTCTAGAAGATGTGGTGCTTGAGCCACCGAGACGTGTGTTGGCTAAATCAAATGAGTACTTGAAGAAGATCAAGTTCCTTCCTAACTTGTTGGGTGATTCTCTTCAAGGTTATGACCGCCGAGTGTTTGTTTATGTGGACTTAAATGAGGACAACAGCGGCGTGACTGAGTGGTTTCAGCAAAACTATCCAAAAATGGATAAAGAATTTGAAGTTTACAACCTCGAAGTAGAGCCTGAAGAAGCTTCAAGCACAGCGGTGGCACCGCCACGAAATGATGTATCGGATTGGCTAAAGAAAAATGTGAGGGAAGAGGACTATGTTGTGATGAAAGCAGAAGCAGAAATGGTTGTGGAAATGATAAAGAAGAAGACAATCTGCTTGGTAGATGAATTGTTTTTGGAGTGCAATAATGGATGGTGGCAGAAAAATGGAAAGACGTATGGGAGCAAAAGGGCTTATTGGGAATGCATTGCTTTGTATGGAAGGGTGAGGGATCTAGGAGTTGCTGTGCACCAGTGGTTTCTATGAGAAAGATAAATTGATATAAGTATATAAAGTTTGCTGCTTTCTTCTGTCCGTGAATATTATTCGAGAGAGTGATATTTGGGTTGGTTTTTCAACTTGTGGTAGATTAAGTAGTTTGTTTATGTTTTTTGTTGGTCTTGTATGAAGCTTTTGTTTCTTTAGGTGTGTGTTCAAAGGGAGAAAGACTTTGATTCTCCTTTTGACCAGTGGTGTAGTCTCTATTTATTTGAATAATAATAATAATAATAATAATAATAATAATAATAATAATGCGTATTTGAATTTCCAGGTGTTGAAAATTGAGGTATTCACACACCACCGGAGATCACATGTTGTCAATGCATATTGCAATGCAAAAGAAAGGAAACGTCCCACCAAGGTAATTAGGTGCATGGGTTCCAAATTTGTGAGATTGTTGGCAATATGCAAAGGGATGCTAACAATGCTAAGAACTAAATGTATTAAGTGTTCAAGTGTCTCTCATTTGGTGCTTGAAAAAGGTGGAACATTTGGAATCCAAGACAAGAGTACAAGGTGAATTTACCCTTTTGTTTTAATTTTTTTTTTCCAAAAAACAATAATCTTAAGATTATATTCATGATGGTGAACACCAAGTTGGTTTGATGTTAAGTGAGCTAAACAACATTTTAAGTATGAATAAGCGAATCTGAAAATTAAAAAGAAGACTTATAATAAGCGAATTTTGAGTTAACATTCTTCTTCTTTGTTGTATTGGAGGGAATCGAACTCTTAACCTATCTGATGATCACAAATTTCATACCACTAGGTAGGCACTAACATCAGGAGCTTGAATAACTATCTTATAAGTAATGTTTCTTGACTAATTCGCTTTCTTTTTTCTTTTTTTTCAAAGACTAATTCGCTTTCTTTGGGTTAGGAAAAAAATGGGGAAGGAAAAGGAAGAAAGAAAAATATTAATAAAAAAATAAAAAATGACATATCCCGTCCAGGTGGGAAAATTGACGGGTTTAAAGGATAGAACCAAAACCCGCGACCGGGTGTCACAAACCGAACGCCAAGCTCCCAAAAATCAACACGCTAATCCAATCACGACCGTCCATCACGCCATTTGGGAAGAAGAGCTAGAGCTCTGCTCCGGCGTATAATCTCACGTGGGCTCCACTCCCCACCATTTTAAAAATTGAACGTTAAAATGGGTCCAAATCCAATCCAACCGAGAAGAAGATCGACCAGACTGGCGTTAAACTGAAATCACCCACCAACTGTACTCTCTCTGATCCAACTACTCAACGTCACTGAAACCATAAACCAAAACCACTCCGTCGATCTTGAATCACAGCAGATTCAGAGCCCAAAGCCCGAAGGTAGTTCCTCACCAATTTCATTTCTTTTTCTAGGGTTTCGCTTCCAATTATTTTGGGGATCGAGGCGCATCATCCAATTTTGTTCTTTTAAATTTCGTGGTTACAGTTTAAGTGGAAGGTCATGGCTCGGATAAAGCCTCAGGCGCTGTTAATTCAGAGCAAAAAGAAGAAGGGCCCAACTCGAATCAGTATTACTACTATAGTTATGTGCAATTTAATCATCGCTTTGATCGCCTTGTCCTTAGTTGCCACTTATCGCTATTGGTCTAGAAGGTAGCATTTCTTTTTTTTCTATCTGTTGTAGTTTTCATATCCTTCGTGATTTTCTTTCTCTGGAAATTTGAATTGTAGTGCTAATTTGGATAATTTCAGCCTCTTATTTTGTTGTGCGCTAATTTGCTCGTAGGTCGCTGGACCAATCTGGGTCGGACTTATCTACTCTAGAGGTATTTATTTGAAATGACTTTTTTTTTTTCTTTCTTTTTCATTTGTGTAATTATTAATCTTCCTGTTTTACAGTAATTATGAAAATGCATATTTGACTAAATTTATTAATCTTTGTTGTGTAGGATATTGGTGGGTTAGTAAAGAAGTACGATCTTCCCGGTTATGCTGTAAGTGTCTTTGTTGCCAACTTGCCTTTTTATGTTAATGTGAACTGCAACTGCGACTGCTAGAACTAAGAGGGTGCGCTTTTGGTTGTGGTGGTGTGGCTAAATTAGTTATGACGTGAATGTTTATCGATCAGTTTATGGCTCTAAATGAGCACATTGAGCAGTGTTTTGCTTTGTGTTTTAGATTTTATCTTGTTATATTTGGAATACACAAATAATCGAGCAACTATTACTACTGTGCAAGAAGTCACTTAATGTAATAGGAAGCAAATTTCCACGCCAGTTTTGAGAATGAATTTTCGTTTTACAGAAGGTTCATTTATGGGAAAATTTAATGCATAAGGATTGCTGCACTGGTTTCGTTTGGAGACATTTTATTCCTATTCTGCTGATGTTTATGTTTAGTGGTTTAATTCGATGTAACACTGAACACTCCTATCTGCTTCTCTATATTGTTAGTTATTCACTCTCCTTCTCCTCCCCTCCCCTGTGTTTTTTTTTTATATAGATTCTAAATACGTCAAAAGGTCCTATCACAGTGGAACTTTTCAAGGATGGTTCTCCAGAGGTTGTGGATAGATTTCTTGACTTATGGTGAGTATTCAACAGTGCATATAAATCTTACATACATACATGCTCTAGTTATCGAAAATCTCATATATATATATATATATATCTCTCTCTCTCTCTCTTTCTCTCTCTCTATTTGAGTCCTTTTTCTTAAAGATTGAGAGAATAAAGTTAAAATTAGGGGATGGGCCGGATCTTAGTGCATAGCTGTTACCAAATTACCAATAGCCAAACCAACAATAAGTTTCCCATTAATTTGGGTTCTTCTTGAATTTCCTTGTAATAAAAGTTCTCTATCCTATGTGTTAATCATTTAGATATTTTATATTTTTATAAGCCATTGTCATATATTTTGTTGTAGCTCCTTTGTGAAAGGGTTCACCAACGAGTTAAAGGGTTCTGTGTTATTCTAGAAGCTTGGTGATGCAGTTACCTGGTTGACTTATATCTTGACAACATTTAGGTCCTAAATGTAGGCTTGATTAGTACAGTAATTGCAAATAAAATCAGAACTTTGACAATTGGAAAGCATCCCAGTATACTGACTAGCAGTAACATCTACAAATAGACGTGCTTGGTTTGTGTGTTTGGTAATATTGTGTTATGCTCTCAAGAAACTTCTAAGGCATTAGTTTTGCAGTCAAAAAGGGCACTTTAAGGGGATGCCCTTCAGTCATGTGATCAAACACTATGTTATTAAAGGGGGAGGTTCCCAAGGACTTGGAGCAGCTGAAGATTGGATATCAAAAGGAAAGCTTCGTAGTCAACTAGTTATGAGGTTAGCTTTAAAAAAATTTTTTGAATTGGTTGGTATTTCATCCATTGTCACAAAACTGATAGCTTTATTCCTACCTGTGAGAAACATGAAGACCAAAGCATGAAGCTTTTATGCTTGGAACTACGAAGAATAGACTAGATGACAAAGGATTTGAGCTTGTTATCACAACTGCACCAATACCAGATTTAAATGATAAGCTGATTGTGTTTGGACGGGTCATTAAGGGAGAGGATGTGGTGCAGGTATATATATTTTTGCTTCTTGAGAAATATTTTGTCATGCCTAGACTTGGATAAGATCTAATGTATAATTCTTTGCATATGATCTCCCATTCAGGAAATTGAAGAGGTTGATACAGATGAACATTATCGGCCTAAATCTTCTGTAGGGATCACTGGCGTGATTCTGAAACGTGAGATTTAAGGGCAATTCAATACAATCTAATGTGAAGTATTCCTGCATAGTATAGTTGCTGGTTTGAGTATTTTCTTGCCGGACTACCCTTGCAATGTACAACAGTACATCTTAGGTTTCAGATTTTCCCTGTCCAATTTTCTCTTCTTCTACTCTCTTGATTTGGCTTGTGATTTAGTGGGGGAGGGGGGAGTTTTGATACTCATTTTAGGTGTAGGTTCCACATCTGGGGTGGATAAAATACGACAATGAAGCTAATTTGATATGCACTTTTTTTGTCTTGTGTTATGATTATTTGATATGATTCATTTTGTTCTTTTTATGGCATTTCCACTCTTAAAATTATTCTTAGACAATGTCGTGGACTGTTGTTGCCATCACGGAATCACGGAGGTTAAGGTTTCGATTTGCACAATTTGGTAACTGAGTTGATATTTCACCTTGTTAGATGTCTGAATGGGTTACCTTATACTTCCAAACGATTGCCCAGCTTCTTGCTTTGCCCCTTTTATTTTATGTCGTCCACGTGCTGGCCTAAAACTCTTGGTTGAAATTGCTCTCATGTAATTGGATTTGGTGATCAACTTTGTTTATGCATCTATTGGGGAAAAAGAAGGGGTTTTTTTTTTCCTTTTTAAAAAATCACAATTGGTCCTTGAACTTTTTAAAAGTCTTCATTTTAGTCTTTCGAATCTCAAAGCAATTCACGACTCGTGTGAGGTCCTTCGTCTTTTGATATGCACATCAATTTGGTTTTACTGTTTCATTCCGACAAAATTTTCACTAAAATTAATAAAGTGTCATTACGTGACCAATTTTAAACAAGAATTTTCATCAAAATATGGCTTATCATAAAACCTCATATTATTGCTCAACGAAGCCATCTGCTCTCCATTTTAGGGTTAGTCTTGTTAAGCAAAAATAGTGAGTTGTACTTTGTGTCATGGGTGGATAAGCTGTATTATGACACAAACATACCTTTAAAGTTGGCCACGTGCTATCACATTACCCCACATTATCAATTGGGAGATTCGCTCTTATATTCAATATAGGAGCTCAAATTATAATAAAAAAATCCTATAAAAAATGTAATTTAAAAACACACTCAAAATTCATTTATAATATAACAAGAAAGCTCTTAACTTTTTTTAAATTATAAAACTGTCATTGATTTCTTAAAACAAACTCAACCCCAAACCTCATAAAACAGCTCAAAACACTCAATAAGACATCAAAGTAATTAAATCAATAGAGCCAGCTGTCATTTTGGTGGGTTTTTTTGTTTTTTGTTTGTTTATAGAAATTAAACGGTGTATGGTTTATCTATATTATTAGTGCTAAGAATGTTAGTCATTTCTCTTATCAATTTTTACAAAGATCTTCAACTAAATGCGACAAAAGGGATCAATTTGATGTGTGGACCAAAAGATTAAGGACTACATTGTCAAGTTATTCTATAGGAAGGGCCTTATATATGGTCTTTAGGTGAGGTTCTATCTCTTAACCGTTGAATCAAACTAACCACTTTGATCTAACGGCTAACCAATT